CGGGAGGAGCGCGGACGCGCCGCGGAGGGAGGGGAGCTAGCTGCGTGCAGCCCGCCCCCTGGGACCCTTCCCGAAGACCTCGGCAAACAGTCCCGGAACTCGCAAGGGCTTCAGCTTACGGCTCCCGAGGCTGTTCCTTCGGACGTCCGGCCCGCGACTGCGCGCCTCTGTGGCACACAGGTGGGGACTGAGGCGCAGAGGCCGGAGCTCCCCTCCGTCCTCGGCTGCCTCCTTCCGGCTGCCTGTGTCGGTTCTGATCCACGCAGAGGTGTGACTTGAGGTGGTACCTTTCCCCTCTGTGCGCCTCGATCTTTCCCTCCTGACAAATGGGAAGGAAACCACTGGCAGAGCCGCTGCCGGGCGGCAGGTCTGAGGACCCTGGGCGCAGCCTGGCCGTGCGGCATTAACCTCGGGAGCCCCCACCCGGGTAGCGATGGGCTCCGATGCCGCATCAGAGGGTGAAGCGGCGGAGACTGGGCCAACCCCTACCCTCTCTGTAGGGAGCGCTGGGGGCGCAGTGCCTAAGGCATTCGACTGTTAACCAAGAGGTTGGTGATTCAAAGCCACCAGCCGCTCTGAGGAAAGAAAATGGGGCGAGCTACTTCTGTGAAGATTTACCGCCCGGAAACCCAACGGGGGTCGCTATGAGTGGGAGTGGACTGAATGGCAGTGAGTTTGGTCGTGTTGGTTTTCCACGCTGCGTACGGGGGGCGGGGGCAGTCCTGGGGGCGGGGCCAGTGGCGGACCTCCGCCCCGCCCTCCGAAGTCGGTCCACCAACGCAGGGGGAGGGGGCGCAGGGAGCAGAGACCGAGCTAGGACCTGGCTTCCCGCACTGCCAGGGCGTTGCTCGGTCGTGTTTGCAAGTTGGGTTAACGGGAGAACCCTGCTTCTCTCTGCCTGTTTCTCTTTAGTCACATCAAAAACTCTTCTTGGAAGGCAGACTCATAACCTGCCTCCACTCCTGCAGGAGGCGGGGTCAATATGGTCCTTTCCCCACTGTCCAGAGGGACGGGCGTCCCCCAGTTCACCTGGGGTCCCGGCGCAGCGCAGACCTTTCTCGACATCTGCTATATGGATGAGTGAGCTGACTGGTTCCTGTAAGATGAAACATTTGGGCTTCCTGCTGGGCCTTTCGTCGCCTCCCCCCAATCACTGGGCGACTGGGACTTATAAAAGTGGGGGGTGGGGGTAAGTGGGGAGGATTATCGTTTTAAGGAGGATCAAGTCCTGTTGCCAAGATGAGAGGCTGACAGCTAATTTCAAGTATTAGTGCGCTGTGACGGGAGCGGGGTGACCTCCCCACAGCCCACCCCTCGCAGGGTCCTTCCCTGTGTCTTGGCTAAATAAAGACACCCTACTCCTCCTCCCCACATACACCCACATTAAGCCCAGAAGACCCCACCCCAATTAAAAACAAGACTCATTACAATTACAGAAGGGGAAAAAAAATAAACAGAGCCCAGGATGGAATGAAATTGCCTTAATCTCATCGCAATGGTGATAAAACGTGTCACGTGTCAGAGCCTGCTTTCTCACTGGTTTTTAGTTGACTCTCTGATGTTCTTGAATTTTTCGCTTGTTATTGTGGGACATCCTCCCTGGCTTCCTTAGGGGACATTCCTAGAAACAGAATCTGTGGCCCTGCTGCCAGGTTACTGGAGCACTTCTCCCTCTCCTGCCCCACCATGGAGGGGACAAGGCTTAAATAGAAGCCCTGGTGGTGCAGTGGTTAAGTGCTTGGCTGCACATCAAAAGGTCAGTGGTTTGAACCCACCAGCCAGTCTGTGGGAGAAAGATGTGGCTGGCAGTCGGCTTCCATAAAGATTACAGCCTGAGAAACCCTATGAGGCAATTGGACTCTGTCCTCCAGGGGCACTATGAATTGGAATTGACTTGACAATGGATTGGGTTTTTTAGGTTTAAAGAAGCGTGTCTCTGGCCCTTTGGGACCATGGCCTTTTCCTAGGTAGGGTGTGGCCCTACTGGGCCCAGAGCCGGTCTCCCTAATGCCCTCTTGTGGGGTCATGCCCTCTCCTTGCCCCTGTCCAAGGCACTGTTTACCTTTGACCCCATGTTGACTCTCCTCAGGTCCTGATAATATGCATGCCAGTCACAGGGGATTATGCCTGTCGTTTGTTCAAAGAAGGACCTGGACTCCTTTTCCTCCTCGTCCAGAGACTGATGCCCCCACCCCACACAGCTTCCAGCCCATTTCAGCCTGGTTCAGCGGTCAGCCAGAACCACAGGCACCTGTATCTGTCCAGCCCACACTTCTGGGAGAAGGCTTAATGCCTTCTCCATATGAACATGCTGAGCGTCCATCCCGCTGACACCACCCCTGTACCAGGTGAGAGACCTAGAGATGCAGCCCAAATGAGGAATGACCCCTTTGCGCAGGCAAAGATTGAAGGTCCTGGATCTTGCAAGCCTCCCCTTCTCCCTGGCAAGGCACCAGGACACCTGCCCCGTCTCCTCTGTCTGTGTCATCCCCCCAAGCCTGTGTCACCAAAAAGCGTCCATTGATCCAGGCTTAAAATAACCCCTGGCATCTGCAGCGAGCCCCACAGGGCGGGCACAGGCACTTGTCTCCGCTCCTGAAGGGCACCCGCCCCGCCCCCAGCTCCTGACGCTGGCAGCTTGGGTGTGCGGGTGTCTGTGCAAGCTGGGGCTGGTGTGGCTTCGAGACCTTTCCTGTCCATGCACATGCATTTATGCGTGTGCGTGTCAGTGTGGGTTGGCCTGGGCACACATGTCACTGTCGAGCCCTCACTGGGTATGTGGCCTTGACTATGGGAGGCTGGGGTTCCTAGAGGTCTGGACACTAGGAAAAGCCTGTGCTGAGCCTCAGTTTCCCCATTTTATTTACTTATTGCCCCCCACCCCAACTAGTCCAAAATTTTCCTCCCTTTCCCTCCCATCCCTGGTAGCCAACAAGCTGGATTCCCTTCCTTAAGTAAACCTTTCCTTGACATTTTACAGTAATGGGCTCATAGCATAGTACCTAAGGCACTTGACTGCTAACCAGAAGGCTGGCAGTTCAAACCCATCAGCCACTCCTCGGAAGGAAGGTTGGTTGAGCAATCTACTTCCGTAGTGATACTGCCTCAGCAACCCAAGAAGGGGTCACTATGAGTCAAGGCCGACTCAACGGCACACAACAACAACAACAACACAGGATTTGCCCTTCTGTGACTGACTTACTTCACTCAGCCTAATGTCCTCCAAATTCATCCACGTTTTGTGAGACGGTTCGGGTGTTCTTCATTATTCTTTAATGTAGCCCGGTATTCCACTGTGTCGGGGTACCACATCCATCCATCCGGGGCTGGGCATTTAGGTGGTTTCCATCTCTTTGCTACAGTGAGTTGTGCTGTTTCCCCATTTTAGATGGTAGGTGGCCAGTCTTCTGGCTCTGCCCAACCTTGTGAGAGTGCATTTGGGATTTACTAGAGAAACCCAAGCCCAGAGAAGGGAAGTGACATCTGTGACTGGCACACACCAAGAAGGGCCAGGAAGGGCCAGGGTCTGGCCTGGAACCTGCACAGTGCATCCAAACCTGCTTGCTGGCCAGTTCAGCAGAGACAGGAGCTGGAGCAGGGCCCAGAGCCCAGGGGAAGCGCCTCCTTTCCCCACTGAAAGCGCGCCCGCCTGTGCGCGTGCTGGTGCCTGACACACCTGCTCATGCTGAGCCTTTGCAAAGGCTCTTCTCCTCCTCGAATGCCTTTGCAGCCCCCACATGGAAAGCTCCTACTTACCCTTCATTTAAGCAGACTGACCTGGCTTGGAATCCCTTCTCTACTAGAGCCAGTCAAACTTCCTAAGCCTTCAGCTTTCCCATCTGCAAGACAGGCTGCTAGCATGTCTTTGGCAGGGCTGCAGGGAGAAACCAATGAGCTTCTACTGGGAAACACACAGGTACGTGCAGCCTCTGGGAGCCCCCACCCAGCCAGGCTGAGAGGACGGTGAATGCCGCAAGCCTTCCCCAGCCTCAAAGGCTTCATTCCCAAGCCTGCTTGGCTTGGACAGCGACCCAAGCAGCAGAGATTCTGGGGAACTTGGGACTCCTTGCCAGCGCAAGTGCCGCTACTGGGAGGGGGTCGAAGGAGGAGGGCCCGGGCTGCCTTTGTCTTCTAGAGACAGCTCGTGACTCAGGCTCCAGCTGCCCGTGGGAGGGAGGGGGCGCCCGGGCTCCTGAGGTCGCCGGGAGCAGCGAGATTGAGGGGCTGGGAGCTAGGGCACAGCCTCCCGTTGCAATCCTCCATGCACCCTCTCCCGGCCTGCACCCTGCCACGCGGAGTCTTGCTCCAGTCGTCTAGAGTTGCTCTCTCCGCCTGAATTCCCACCATTAGTCTCTCCCTTCAGGACCCTTCAAAGGCCTCGGTGAATGTGCAAAGCCGGAGCGGC